TGCTGCCGAACTGGGTAGACTGAGAATCACTGAATCATTACTACTGCTGGCGGTGGGTCAGGTTTCTGCTGCTACCGGCGGCGATGGTATGTCTTCCCGAGGAATGCGTCCATAACACATGGCCTCCAGCGAGGCGCTCCCCCAAAACGCCCTGAGGCGTATGCTAGAGGCGCTGACACCTCTGAGGCATACGCCTCTTGCGCTTTTTTCATGAGGCGTGCTAGAGGCATATGCCTCGTGCGCCTCATGCACATCTTATATAAAAAGACAGAAAAAAAAAAGAAAAAAGAAAAAAAGGAAAGGAAAAGAAAGGGAAGGGAAAGAAAAAGAAAGAGAAGAAAAAAAGAGAAAAGGAAAGGGAAGGGAAGAAAAGATAAAGGGAAAGAAAGTGGTTTGCCCCCTGCCCCTTTGGCTGGGAGTAAATGAAAATAAATAAGTTCTTAGAAAAACCATTCTGGTCTTGTTTTCCTTTAACATACCTTCTTAGCCTTTGTTTTCTTCAAAGTTGACAATTAAGGAAGACAAAGAAACCGATGAAACAGTTTGCTCAGATACACACTATTGAAAGAATCAAACAAAAGAAACAAATTGTTTTAGCTTCACATCCTGAACTCCACCACCATCCCATTTTCCCACACTTCCAACTGCTTATTGGTTGGTGTTTCAGCATAGACTGCTCTTAATCCTCCATTCTAATCCCTCTTTTTTGGGCCTATTATGCCTTATATCTTGAACTCTATATTTGTGTTTTCAAAGTTGTAAGGAAAAATGTGTAAATTCTAAAACAATTTTTTATTGCAGATTAGCAGATACCTCTAATTGATCCTTGACAATAAACTAGTTTCCTTTTCTTAACAGCAACAGATCTCTTTTTACCATATTTAAGGTCATACTTCAAACAAATAGAAACCCCCTAGGTTATTACAAATAACTAGAGATATAAGCCAATCGTTCAGCCAGATTGCATGCATTCTAAACAAATAGACTAAGCAATGCATGGATAGAAATTAGAAAGTAAGAATTAGCACTACTGTACGACCACCAACTTGCCTCCAAGAATCGTTTCCTTGCTTCGTCCACTCCATACAATTGAGCTTCACAGAGGAAACACCATATAGACTCCTCCGTATCATTAGGATTCAGTGCAACATCTAGTCGAAACTGCTCCGCCCCTTCTTCAAACCTACAAATAGGAAAGTTATTACCCTGTCAAGTTTATCTCAACTGCAAAGACAACGGATGAAAAAAGATTGAAAAATCAGATTTAGTAAGATAAAAACCTACCTATCCAAATAATATAAAGACAGACCCCTCTGCCAAAGATCTGGTAACAGTCATTTCAAAATTTGTATTATCCAGTGTAAACTTCACAAGCGAGGCAGATATATGTAACCAGAAATATAGCAACCTACATGCCCTCTGACGAGAATCCAGCTCAATTGCTCGATCGAACTCTATTAACGACGCAGCAACATCACCCTTGGGATAAATTAGAAGAACAAGAATCAGAGAAAGCCGTCTCACAAAGAAATTGCAATTGAGGTAGAACCACAGAATGCAGACTTATACCTGTCTGAAGAGTTCCATTCCACGTCTGATGGAAGCCACAGCTTCACTAGCTGAATTGCCTCCCGTCAAGGCATCCCAGATCCCTGACACCGAAGGTAGGAACAACCGTCTAGACAATACAGGTACTAAGGTTTTCTCGTACTGCATTTTGGACCATGTGACGCCGAAAAACGATAGTTTGTTAGGAGTTTTGACTCCAAGCGGGGAAGCAGAAGCAGCAACAGGTGAAGGGTAGAGAAAACAGGGGGAGAACAAGGAAAGGTTGGATTGAAGGTTCAGCTTTGAAGCCATTGAAGGAGCCCGGGGAACAGTTAAAGTTAACAAACTTGACAAAGAAAATATGAAAATAGAATCTATACGAATACTTTGGTTTGTATTCTGGTGCTTTTTGGAGTAGTTACACTTGCAGAAAGATAGTAAAGAGAATTTCGAGAAATGAAGCTATGTTGGGTTCATGATCTGCTGGTGGGAGGAACTGAGGGAGGATAAGGCATGAGCAGCAAGTGGATTTTACTTATTTATTTATTTATTTATTTTTTATTATTATTATTATTATTATTATTATTATTATTATTATTATTATTATTATTATTGCTAACTAAATGGATTTTGTTTGGGGCACGAGTAACCGATAGAAATAGAATAGTGAATACCAATTCCTTAAGGCGCCAAATCTAACTAACCTCGTACTGTAAACGAGTTTGTACGGTGTCCCTCTAAAAAAATGGAGGCGCAGGAACAAAACTGGGCAACGGCTATGCGTGCTGCGTGCAAGGTCGGTGGAGCACTGGGCCCGACCCAATGCCCGAGAGATAATTCGTGTCAACCCGATTTTCACACCAATAACCCTATTCTCTATCTATGGGTGAGTAAATGGGTCGGTTCGAACGGAAATGATCTCGAATCGGTATCCAACCTGTTAGCGAGTAAGGTCTCATTACAAATTTTTGGAATAAACTAGGTGGAATCCACCTTGGTTAACACAAGGTGTAACCAAGCCTTGATTGATCTTAGTGGAATCGGTTTTGGAACTAAATTTATTTTAAAATAAATTCTAAAATACTTTAAAGATGTGAAGAATTGTATACAAGCACTCATGTATACAAGTTTTAAAATAAATCCTAAAATACTCATGAGAAGAATTGTATACTTAATGTTTGAATGTGTATAATGAATAATGTAAAAAGTAACATTTACTGATTTACAAAATATAAATTGTAATGTTAAGTTTTGAATTATATATTAATATATTATGATATTCTACGGATTTAATTAATAAAGATAATATAAATTTTGAACTATATTATTATTATTATTATTATTGAAAATTTAATTCAAACATTTTATGTTTATGATTTCTAATCAATCATATATATTGATGGGAACATACTAACATTATCAACTATAAAATTTGTAACAGAAGAAACCATATATAGCTACTATTTTATATACTACTATTTCATTTTAAGAAAAGTTCCACTGTTTTTTGGGTATATAGTGCATCAAACAAAGTGCATAATTCTGTTCCAGTTCGCTTTGGTACTTTAATTTGCTTCCTTTTTATTTTACTTGAAGTCTAAACAGCAAATAAAAACGATGAGGTAAGAAAACATTTAAGAAATCCCTATATGTGCATTCCCATACAGCCATACTACTGAATTAGCAAATGTGAAATTTCACCACCAGAACAGGTCCAAATATGAAACGACCGGAGCTTCAGTCTTTTCCTGAAAAAACCTTCAACGAATCGCGATCGCGACTCACTAAGAAAGAAGGTATGAAACTAAAGAAGCTGGTAGCTGGGCAGAATCAGATAAATCAACTGCATACCATGCTTGCCAATTTTAGTGGTCTCCCTGGTAAAGTAGTGGTCTATGGAAAATTCCTCTTCTTTCTGTTTTTGGCCAATTTCCCATCAAACCAAACAACCTAAATAAATTTTCAATCCAACGAATTTAAGATGAATAGCACATTTAAGCACATGCTTTATATGTTCATTGCATTAACAAATGGGGAGAAAAACAGACGGAGTCACCTATTATAAAAATGAGAAACTAAAACAAAGTCCTAAGATTTTCATGTTTAAATCTCTCGAATATCTTGAACATGAAAGAAAAAGCTCTGGAATACAAATAAAACCCGAACAAGGACCAAAAAACAGAAATTGTAGCGCTATCCAAAACTTCTCTACTACATAATAAAAAATAAAAATATAAAAAAAACTTCCAGATAGCACAGTATCATTAAACCGTTTAGCCATTCCCTGCTGCCTCACTTCTTCGCTTTCTTAGTTCCCCTGCATAAGGAAACACAATCATTTTAGCAAGTCAAAACGTGTGTCGCGGTTGATCTATCAAGAATTTGAGATTAAATCAAACGAGTAACATCAGCATACTCGGATGTTTGAGATGCAGGAGCAGCTGCCGGTGGGGCTCGTTCAGTTGGTCCCTGCACAATTAAAATGATGAATTCAGAAATCAAATCTTGACAGTAGCATTTCAAGAATGTCAATCATTAATTTGAGCATTGAGCAAAGTAGAAATGTAAAGAAAGAGAAAGTGTCTGCTGAATTAAAAACCAAATAAAGAAATATTTTGGGAAAAATAGCTCGCCACCCGACATCCATTAATCAATTAGATGGCTTGACTCCAACTGATTGGAATGGAGTGCTCAGTGGAGATATCTCAAAAGGGCCTAGAACTTTTGACAGTTTGGTCAAAAAGCAGGATTAGAAAATATTCTTAACACACAACACCTAGAAGCAATGTTCGTCCTGAGAACAGTTCATGACTCCATGTTATGTCTAGAACACAAATTTCGCAAATGTTCCTCCTACCTGAGCCAAACGCTCCTCCCTCCTAGCAATTTTTCTTTCCCTGGTTGCCTTGTTCTTGGCCCGCTTTGCCTCAAATTGGTCAGATAAAGTCTTCTCCCTTGCCTTCTCAGCTTTAGACTTGTGGATGCTTTCCATCAGGACACGCTTGTTCTTGAAGACGTTACCCTTCACTTTCATGTACATGTCATGGTACATGTGCTTGTCAATCTTCTTGGATTCCCTGTATTTACGGAGCAAACGCCTCAGCACTCGCATCCTTCTCATCCAGAGCACCTTTGTTGGTAGTCTTGCCTCTCTTGTACCTTTTCGTTTACCTATAACATTTTAGAGTGAACAGTCAAATGCCTGTCTTGTAATCAAGTAAATGATTACATGAAATGAAGAAAGGATTGGAGTGAGATTTTTTATTCTGTTTTCCACACTTTCCTTTAGACATCTTAAGCCCCTTCAATAGAGATGGAGAAAATTTAAAAGAACAAACTGATTTCATCATTCATGTAAGAGAAATTTTCATAAACCCGTTACTAATCAATAAATCCATCAACTAGAGGTCTAGAAGATTATTTTCTTTTGGTTAGTAACTTGTATCAGGCAACTAAAATGTTTATGGTTATCATGAAAAGCATACCATATCCAGAATGGCGACCCTTTCTCTTGGCCTCCTTCATACGGCGAGCACGAGATCGAGAATGGATCTTGGTTGGTTTCCTAATGACAAAACCATCTTTCACCAACTTCCTGATATTCTGCCCTGCAGATAGCAATCACAAAGATAAATCCATCTCAGCAAGGAAAATGGAATTAGCTATCAATATATGCAATCTCAACAAGAAAAAAAATAAAGTAACCCAAAAAAATATATCAGGAAGGTCTTTACAATTTTCTATTTGTGTAATGGAGTTGTGGCCAGAGAAATGTGACATACACATGTATTTTGGTATTTTGCTACAAATACTAATTTTGGATTTGTTCCTAATTTACCTAAAAGGATTTATCTGATTCCTTTGGAGGAAATTATTGATTTCCATGATTCTATTCCTTTAATAAATTGATCAATCCATTGATTTTTTACTGCTCACTTCAACAGTTTAAAAATATCTCTTTCTAAGCAGTTGCATTGTCACTTAGCAGAGTCAATCATCATTGCGGCAGCAATGCAGTATTAATAGAGAATTTTAGTGCAGTATTCAGATTTTATATCGTGAAGCCTACCATGAATAAACATTTAGTTTTGCAAATATAAGTTGGACTAGAAGATGTAAGCCTGTAATGGAAAAAATGAACCTAGAAAAGCATCAAACATAGAGACCACCAAGTAAATGAAATAAATGTAAGAGACTGTCTCCAATTTTAATAGAGCACTACAGATATCCTAATGTAAAACAAACAGTGCCAACAAGCACAATGAAAATCATCAAGTTAGAAGAAAATAAAAAACAATCTTACGCTCGTCAGACGAAAATAGCAGCTTAAGTATAGAAACTCCAACGAATAGGTATTCAAAGTTTACTTACAATGTTTAAACCACAAAGAAACTAGAAACAAAACAACGCATACTAGAACGTATGGCTCGCCTAACAGTTATCAGGCGCGGAAAAATTTAAACCTTAAAATCAAAGAACAACAGATTGTACATGTAACGACAATGGCTATTGTCAACCATAGTAACTCTCTCTACAAACTAGAAATGCAGAACCTTCAACCATAAAAGTAATAACGAAGCTGCTGCTAATCTAAAACCATTTGATTAGGTCATATCTAGCACAAATATCGCTTCATACTACAACGGTCTTAGAAAATACACAGACAAAAAGCATCGCCAATTTTGTAAGGCAACCATTTGGGTTCCTCGATCCAGCTGAAACTAAATGAACTATACTAGGAAATGAAAATAATAAGGTCTGCTTTGTTCACTAAACACAACCCTTATACAATAGGCAAATGAAATAATTACAAGAGAAGCGATGGCTTCAACAGATCGAGTTAATCCTGTTGACAAGCAAAGAAAGACGGAACGAAAAGGAGATTGAAATTGAAAGAGATATGGGGAGAATCGTACTGGAGTTGGCCATGGAGATTTCGTTGACCTCATTGGGATCGAGCCAAACCTTGCCCCTCCCACATTTCAGAACGCTAGCGGCGAGCCGCTTCTGCAGCTTCAACGACACCATTTCGTGTCTTCCTTCCCGGCGGACTTGCTGCTGCGAGACAGGAAAAGAAGAAGCGATCAAAGAGATCCTTTTATACCACTTCGGCTTATCTAGGGTTAGGGCCGAGAGCAAAATGAGAGTAGCAATTCTATCCATACGAGCTTTCTAACCCAGAATGCAAACGTGGAATCGTTTTGACCATCAATACTTCATCCGTTAAACGCCGTGGGCATGGTGTGCCAAATAGCGGTGTTCAAGGCCACCGTATGATTATACGCTTTTCGCCTACCCGTATAGCTAGCTTTCCTCGCCTCGCGAAATGTTATGTTAATCGGCTTGTTTAGTTTCTAGGATGTCCCTTGTTCCTTGCCATACTCCAAGCCTACGCAAGTCTTAGAAATCAGAAGTAATTTTTTTTAGTCACCCTTTTTTTCCCCAAAGTGTTTGTTGCGGGATTTGGTTTTACATCAATAGAATAAACCAACTAACACACCAATGAGTCAGCCCTCAGTTGGTTCTTAATTAGAAGGCGAACCCTTTTCCGGTTTGATTCAAGAATGGCTTGACTAGAGTTGGGATCTCCTAGACTCCTACCAGCAAAACACTTTCTAATCCCTACCAACTTCATCCAACACCGCACATCACACCATGACTGCGATCCATCATAAAAGTGAGACCCGCCATGAATAAGATGTGCGGTAACAGATCATGTTGGTAAGGGATGGGCACGTGTTTTGCAGGTAGGAAATCCATACTCGACTAATAAAAGGTGGGTCCATTTGGCACTAGCGAACCCATTAGCAAACTTTGAAAACACCCTAAAAATAGAGTTAAAAATTAAAAAAAAAATAAAAGGGTAAGATACATAGTACTAGTGGTGCAACTTGGTCGAGCTCAGCCCGAGCCCAAATCGATCCAGTCCAAAATTTTACACAGGTTGAGGTTGGATTTTCAGTCATCGAGTTGGGATCAAGCCCAAGAAGTTGGACTTTTTTATTTTTCAAAATATACTCGGGTGTAGCCCTAAGCTAGCCCAAGTTGGACCAACTATACATATTCATAATACATATGTATACATATGTAGATTATAGATAGATAGATATATACACATACATATTTGTATGTACATACATTTGTATATATATTTGCATAAATTAATTCATATATGTATAATTTTAGAGCAGGTTCATTAACCAACCCAAGCCTGAGCCCAACCCAAGTGCATCAAATTACAATGTGGGTTGGGCTCTAGTTGGGAAGATTGGGCTCGATCTGGGCTTGAGCCTTAATCTCAAAATTTAGGATAGTGACTAGGATGGATATCTCGTATCCGAATAGCTTGACCATAAACCAAACCCAACATGCCCGATTTGCACCCATACATAATACTACCCTATACTTTAAGACCCCCTTGAACTTTTAGATTCTCACAAAGACCCTCTTCTCCATTAAGTCGAACAGGTGAAGAACTTAATTTATCAAAATAGCCACTCAAGAAACTTCTATAAACTGAGGATTGCAAAAAAATAATAATAATAATAATAAGAAACTTCCATGAAAACCTGAAATTACAATAAACACATGTAGTTAATATCAACTAAACTAGTAGCAAGTGGAAATTAAAAAAATGCTAAAAAGTCATTGGAAAAAATAATGGTTTAGGGATTTAAAAAGGTTTAAATAGTCACATGCTAATATTGGGGGTCTCTTTTCAAATCCAAGGGAAAGTGAGATAACTACTATAGCTAATACTTTTTTATTCTTTGAGATTGGGTGGAAGATACATATATGAAAAAAATGCTTCTATTTTTTTCTTTTTATTTTTTTTTTTTTTGTAAAAAGCCAATAGTTAATCATTCATTGCACCAAATCATTCATTCGTATACAAGCCTAAGAAAATTAGGAAGAAAAAGATCAAGTGCAAGATCATTGCACTGTACAACCAAATTTAGCAATAGTATGAGTTGCACAATTGCCAATACAAGGGATGCGAGAGGTGAAAATATGAGAACTGTGCAAAATAGTCTTGCAATCAACAATGATTGTAAACAATCACCAAGGGATTTCAATGTGAGAATCCAACAGGAACTTAGTGATCTTATGTGTTTCCTTCTAATGCATCTATATATGTATATTTTTAGAGTGTGTTCATTGACCAGCCCGCGCCCAACTTGAGTGCATCAAGTTACAGTGCGGGTTGGGCTATGGTTGGAAAGATTGGGTTTGACCTCAAGCTCAGCTTGGGCTTAGGCCTAGGTTAACCATAAACCTAACCTAACCTGCCCGATTTGCACCCATACATAGTACTATCCTATACTTTAAGACCCCCCCTTAAACTTTTAGATTCAAACAAAGACCCTCTACTCCCTTAAGTCGAACGAGAGAAGTTAATTTACCAAAATACCACCCAAAAAACTTCTATAAATTGAGAATTGCCACAAAAAAACCAAGAAACTTCCATAAAACCTAGAATTACAATAAACACATGCAATTAATATTAACTAAACTAGTAACAAATGGAAATTGGAAAAAAAATATAAAAAGTCGTTGAAAAAGGGTGGCTTAGGGATTTAGAAAAATTTAAGTAGTCACATGAGAAAAATTTTCAAGGTTAACTAATAGGGGGTCTTTTTCAAATCAAAGGGAAAGTGAGGTAATGCTTTTTTCTTCTTTGACATTGGGTTAGCACATGAATGAAAAAAAAAATGCGCCTGAGAAAAGTAGGAAGAATCAAACCAAGTTCAAGATCGTTGCATTGTACATACAAACAAATTTAGCAATAGTATAAGCTGCACAATTGCTTATATGAGAGATATAGGAGACCTGAAAAGATGAGAAACTATGCAAAATGGCCTGCAATTAGCAATGGTTGTAAACAATCACCAAGGGATCTCAATGTGAGAATTGAGAATAGAATCCAATAGAACTTAGTGATCTTATGTGTGTTTCCTTCTAATACAATATGAGAAAGATGTAGAGACCATTCGAGCAACAAACCCTCACAAAATAACTCAAGATTCAAAAACCTCTAGGTTAACCAAGTTTTTATAATCGGATCAAACAAGGAACCGTTATGGGGACAAGTTCCCGGGTCGAACGGTCCGACTGTTTAATCCGGACATACGACCATTCTAACAAAAAAAAATTAAAAAATTAAAAATGACAAAAAAATGTTGTCTAAGTTGACGGTTTGACCACCTGGGTCAGCGATTCGCTAACCAAGTCAACGATTTTTGGGGTAAAATTGATAGGCTTTTCTGGTCTAATTGTTCAGTTCGGCCCCGTTTTGAAAACAATGGGTTCTATCACTTTGGTGTAAACTACCTGACCACAAGTAAAAAGCACCATGATGATCATGTAAGGCAATACCCAGACCTAAATAATGGACACCCTTGGCACTATCCATAGTGATTTTAATAAATGGAGCCAAAGGTGGTCTCCTATGCTGAAGGTGTGGGTTTGAAGATTGTGTTGAAAATAGTAGAAGAGTTAGATGTTCATGCTTCAAAGAGCGCATTGCGCTTACTTGTGAATTGGATGTTGAAAGCACCGACGATGGATTAATGTCAATATTATCCATAAATTTCTAACATTGTCCCTTCTAAAAATAATAGAACACTTGCTAAAGATACTAAGATTATCAAGTGGGCTGAAGCATTTTATTCTCGGTGTAAGTTCATAAGAATTCCAGAAGGATTTTCATAATTCCATGGCATATCCAGCTCCGAGAGAGCCAACTATGAATTCGATGTAGAAGCTAATTCACTTTGCGTTGAATGACAAGTGAAACACCCATGTAGTGTTAAGGTCCAAACAAAGCGGTTCCAATTTGAGTGGGGATGATATGGGATTTCAATCTCTAGTATTTGTTGAGCCATGGCCGAATCAAATATATGGAATTGACTGGGGCTATAACCCCACCAAAAATACCTAGCAATTGAGATAATTCTGGAATGCATAGCTTGAGGCAAAGTACGAGTGGACATGGAATAAGTAGAAAGGGATTAAATACTATGACTTAATTAGTATCTCCCTATCAGCGTATGATAGACAATGAGCCTTTCAAGTGGCTAGATTTTTTTATTCTTTAATTTGTCGATAAGAAAATGCCAAGTATTCAGTTAGATTAACTCCCATAATTGTGTAAGAGTAGCCTGTGTTCTTTGATGAACATTTCTACTAAAATAAATGAATGATTTTAAGAAATTAATTTCCTGACCAGAATAAGAACTTAATTCCAAAAAATTGAATTAAATGTTTCAAGTTCCCTTTCACTGCTTCTGCCAAAAACTAGAATGTCACTATCAATTACATCAAATGATTGAGGGCAAGGCACTCTTCGAAAGCTTAAATCCCTTTAGTGAACCATCTTCAACCTAAGTAAAAGCTTGTGACAAGGAATAAAGAGCTATAGAGATAATGGAGATAAAGGGCAACATTGTTGAAACCCCCGTTAGGTCTACATGATGAATCAAACTCCCCATTTAACAGTATGGCAATTAAGTAAAAATAAGCCCTACTAGCCTTGCATCATCCTTATGGAATGTCAATTGATGGGGCAATAATTTAATATGGCTTATTAGCGGAGGATTTGTTAAAAAAAAGTGAAATAATAAAAATAAATAACAGTAAACATACATTTTATGTTTGACATCACAATAATATAGTATAATACCATCATAATGAAGGATTGTAATGTTTAAATTATACGATATATAATCTAGAAGAAATGAGCAATGTAGATATTGTAATGTTTAAATTATATGTCAAGGCCAAACGAAGCATTTAAAAAATTAAAACAATGAAAATATCCTCGTCAGTCCCATGTTGCATAAAGGTCCACGCTAAAAACCTGAACAATTACAAATTTATAATATTAATTATTAATTTTAAACATTGAAAATGAGTAATGTTCATTTTAATAGAAACACTACATACCAATTAAATATGCTCAATGATGAACAACTTCTTCATTAGGTAGATTTAAGTTGTGTTCAATTTATTTTACCCCATAAAGCATCATGAGTTCATCTTCATAGTCATATAAAACATCCAATAACTCCCCAAAATCTT